GCCCACCCCTCGCCGTCCCTCGCCCGGCCCGATCCCGAGGCGTGCCGCTGCTGGGACCGGGCCCGCGGCCGCGGCTGGTTAGTGAGACAAGCTCTCCCCCGGGACGCGACGCGCTGCCCGGGCCGCGCCGAACGCCGCCGTCGCCCTTCCAACAACCGAACGCGCGAGTTGCAGCCGGCTGTCGCCCGGTGGCGTCCGGGACCGGCCCGCCGGGACAACGGGGTGCTCCTGGTGGAGCGGCACGCACACGGGAACGAGCACTTCTCTCCCGTCGACAAGCGGGCCGTGCGCGTGCTGCAGGCGGACGAGAGAGCGCGCCGAGCTGCCCGCGGTCGCTAAATTTACGTATTCGCGACAAGGGCCTTCGGGTTGCCTTCGGGTCTCCTTCGGGTCGCCTGTGGGTGGTTTCCTTCGGTGCCGAGTAGAGTGAAGAGTGCGGTCAGTGCCGAGGAGATGCGAAGGAGGCCGTGGCCGTGACGAGCGCCGAGTTCGACGCCGTTCGACACGACGCGGCGCGCCGTGTTGACACCGAGCCCCGCCTCGCGGGTGCCGTCGTGGACGTGGACCCCCCGCGGCGCAGGTGCTGACACCGCCCGGCGTGGCGCCTCGCCCTCTGACGTTCCAGTTCGACCGTCGTGAGTGAGTGCTGTGGCCGGCGGCCGGCGCCGTGGAGGTGAGGACGTTTCGACGCCGTGGTCGGAGGGGGCCGGCAGAGCCTCCTCCCGCGCCTCCTCGTTGGCGGGGAGGTGCGCCGTGACGCCCCAGGACGCCGCCGTGCTCCTGATGGCGGGCCGCCGAGGGCTCCTGAGCTGACACCACGGGCGGCTCCTCATCCCGCGGCCAGAGGGCCCCCGGGGCCCGGTCCCCCAGCGCGCCCGCGTCCCCCAGCTCGGCCAGCGGCATGTCCGCCTCCGGGGGCCACAGCGGGGGCCACAGCGGGGGCCACAGCGGGGGCGGGCGCAGCTCGCGGGCGGCGGGCAGCAGCGGCGCCGGCGGGTCGTCGCGCCGGGCCAGGTCGGCGTCGTCCCGCTACTCCGAGAAGCCTAAGAAGAAAAAGGCCATCGCGACCAAGCACGCCGGCACCTCTCTGGTCTCCATCCCCAACGCCATCAAGCTCTCCATGCTCAACAGCGGTCTGCTATCACTGTGTAAGTATCCACCGAGAGCACAGCTAAGAATCTAGGCCCAATGGATATTTTTTTACGCAGCAGTGTGTTCTAAACCTCTCAACGCATTAGTTTGGCTAGAAGAGCTGAGAGTTTTGCTCCTCTGTTCTGTATCAACCCCCCTCCCCCCGTTTATTTCTCCCTCTCTCTCTACTCGCCGGCTTCTTGTAAAATTTACGATGCGAAAAGCTCTCCGGGACACATTTGCGGCGATTGGGCTCCCTGTTGAAAGTTTCCTCATTACGGCTCGGCAGCCCCGCCCCTCAGTTTACAAACGGGTCGGTCTGGCGAGCCGGGCCGGCCGCGCCGGCAGCGCCTCTTGGTCGTACATCTTCTCCATTCCTCTCGCCCCTCCCCTCCCTTCCACGATCCTGGCGCCCGACATGACGACGACTTCCGGGCCATCGGGGTTGCTTGCCTGAAAAATGAAAAGAAAGGAAAGAAAAACAACGACACGCACGCACGCGCACGCACGCACACTGCAGCCCTGTGGTTGTGTAGGTCAGCGCCTTATCACTGCGAGGTAGGCCACGTTGGGACAGGCGCGCGCGGCGGGCTGCCTATCTCCAGCATCACAGGCGCTCAGAGAGGAGGACGGGATGGCCGTCCAAATAATGAGATATCCCTTTGCCCCCTCTCTCTTCGCCGCCCCCCCTCTTTCTCCCCTCTTCCCCCCGGACAGTCGCCGCGGGTTCGAATACCGGCTCAGGAGTGATTTATTTTCCCCGCACCCCTCTCCTGTCAACCAGAGGACCCCTCCATTAGCGGGGAGAGTCGGTCTGTCAGCGGCCGTCAGCGGCGTAGTCATGATTGAGCGAGTGAGAGAGAGATAGAGGGAGGAAGGGGGGGGGGGGGGGTGTGTGCGCGATATCTGCAGGGTCAAGTACTTTTCCCCCATCTTTCCTCCTCCCACCGCTCCCCCCTGTCCATGCCCCCCCCCTTTTCTCTCTCTCTTTCTAGTAGCGCCTGCCTCACCGTTTACACCACCGGCCACGTGGCTGCCGGAATGTGTCAGCACTTTTGACAGTTCTCTTATTTCGCGACTGACAGTATTTAGGCAAGTCCCTTGAGCGAAGGATTCCGCAGCGTCGCATCGCGGTTATTAGAGGAGGGCCCATGGATCTGGATCTCTGTGGTGGACGCCCTTCCCGGTTGGGCTGAGGCCCTCCTGGTTGAGGCCTTGCTGATGGCCCTGACTGAGCCCTTTAGCTGTGGTCCTGGCTGAGGCGCCGGCTCAGCCTCTGGACGAGGCACCGGCCGACGTCCTTGCTGAGACTCTGGATGACGTTCTGGCTGAGCCACTGGATCTGGATGGAGCTCGTGAGGCACCGGCTGAGGCCCTTGCTGAGCCTCTGGCCGAGGCATCGCGGCTGAGGCTCCGGGCTTCGGTTGAGGCTCCGACGCCCTTCAGCTGGACATTGGCTGCCCTCTGGGCGCCGCCACGGCCATTAGTTATTGGCGTATCGACGGACTGCGTCATCTGTCTTCGTCTCAGGCCCCCGAGTGGAGTGCCAGTGCGAGAGAGATGGGGGGATACGAGTGGGGCTGAGAGGGGAAGGAGGGGGGGGGATAAAGAGGTGGGAAAGGTGGGATATACAGGGTGGTCCAGGTTCAGAGATCCCTTCCTTTATTTTGCATGCAGGCGTGCGTGCGGGCTTGCCTACCGTCGCTCACCGCGGCGCCTTATGGGCCCCGTGCGAGTATGTAACCCGGCCACTCGCCTGATCCGGTACAGTATGCCATGGCCAAATAAAGGAAGGGGTCTATGGACCAGCCTTGAACGTGTCGAGGTGTGTAGGTGTGAGGAAGGGGAGAGGAAAGGAGAAAGCTTGACGGCGATCAACTGCAGGAAAGTATTGTTGTGATAGTGGGGGAGGAGAGAGAGCGAGAGAGAGAGAGAGAGATATGTATGAACATATGAAGGAGAGGAAGAGACGAAAACGGGCAGAAGAGAGGGAAAAAGAAGTGCAAAAAAAGAAGCGCTCAACAAAGCGCTGTGTGGTGCTCGGTGAAGATCGGGTTCTGGTTTATCTCAAACCGTCTGAAACGGGGTTGGGGGTGGGGGTGGGGCGGTCCAGCTGACAGCAAGGTGAAAGGAGGCATGCGTCGGCAGGGGGTGTGGTTGGGTAGGGGGGTGCAGTCGAGATTGGATTAAGGTTGCCGTCGTAATTACTTGAGGGTGCGAGTCGGGAAACGTGTGTGTGTGTGCAAGAGGGTGAGGGTGCACGGATGTGAGTGGAATGTGTGAGTGATACGTGAATGATACGTAAGAAGACTTGTGAGAGTTATCCTGCCTCTGGACTAACAGTCGGCCCCTCCCCTTTGTCGCCGATCTGAAATGGGTACAAGGGAGCCGTCATCCATACTGAAGACGGGCGAATGGCTTAAGTGAGAGAGAGAAAGAAGCTTTTATTTGGTGGTGTTGGGGGGTGAGGCTGAGGCATGGGCGAGGACGCTTGTCCCGGAGGGCATGGATGCATGTAGGAGAAGGGGGGAGGGAGCGGGGAGGTCGCAGTGGAATCGCTCCAAGTTTGAAAGCGAGTGGCCTGCGCTCGCCTGTGGGCGTTGTTGCTCTGTTTGGGCGCGGAGGGTCGGAGGGTGTGAGAGAGGAGCCACGTGGAGGGGGAGAGGGGAGGGAGAGGAGAACCGATGGCATCTGTTCCTGATACAATCGTGTCCCTCCAAAATGATAAAATGAGACAGAGAACAAAATGTACAAAAGAAAAGACCCCTCGCCCCCCCCCCCTTTGTCATCGTGCAGAGTGCGGCATGATGTTTTGCCTTTCGCACACACGAGATGCACTCCAATCAAAAAATATGAAAAAAATTGAAGTCAGTAACATCGTTTGCAGTGCTGGTTCTTCCGTTGAAATTACCCGCGGGGTTTTGCGTGGTGACGAAATTTGTTTTTGCAGTGTGTGTCATGACTGCTCGCCACCGCTCACTGCACCCAGGCGGGGCCGGCTCGAACTCCCCCCCCCCCCCCAAAGGATCGCTTGCTTGTTTACAGGGCATTAAAATTCATAACAGGCCCGAAGGAATGTCTGGGCGGGAGACTCATGTACACTACGGAAAGAAGACCTCCGAAATGTGTCCGACAAAACAAAACAGAATTATTGGCAGAGAGAAGTGGGGAATCGGCGAACTTGTGCGATGTAAGGCGTGCGTTTGAAACTCGTTGGGTTGCGTCGGCGCCGGGGCAGTGCTGGGGCGGAGCCATACATCCTCCGCGGTCCGACTTCGACACACTTTTCGTGACCTCCCTCCATATTTCGTGTACTGCCTTCTCCTCTTTTTTCCCTCATCTTTCTTCTCCTCACGATCCATTTCTGTTTTTTTACTCCCTCCCTCCCTCCCTCCTCTACTTACTCACATGTAATTCTGCTCACAACTGCGCCCACGCACACGCACACACGCACGCACGCACAGAATATTCGATCGCATGCAATTAGGATGATCCCAGCCAAGGACACGGGGTCTAGTTGTGGTCGTGGGCGTACCCGCGTTAGCTGCGGCGCTCTCCCGCCGTCCCCATGGCAACGGCTTGGCGTCGGACGTGCTGGATATGGAAACCAACGTAACTTTGGCGCAGTTCACGCCACCCAACAAAATATGCGAGGCGGAAAAATCCTTTTCACGCTCTTCAGTTATTTTCGTTTTATTCTTCTCCCTCGCTTTGCTCTCTTTACCCCCGCGCGGCGCAGTTAGCCTCGATCAGAGCGCCAGTGATGCCATAAACAAGCGGGGCTAACAAATTGATTTCTGGTCGGGAGGAAAAGCGGAACTGTCGGGTTTGAGGAGAAGACGAGAAGGGGATGAGA